ATCTCAAGGCTGCGGGTTCGAGCCCCGCGTTGGGCTTTCCTTTTTGGTATTTTTTTTGATACCCACCTTCTTTCTTCTCCCTCTCCCTATCCTGATTGATGCTCCTGTATCAGCCACCAACAAACACTGGCAGGTTCTACATACCAACCACTACCTTGATAGGTTCAAGATTATGCATGACTATTGGCCATGTATCTCTCACTACCCTTACCCCCCCCCGCTACAGTACTACTTTGGACCTCGGCCTGAAGCGCCCAGTGCACACATCGGTGATGCGGTGGGATGTCCTCATCGGGAATTCCGCACAACCCCGTCCCTACAGCTCTTCATATTATCCAATATGCAGCATGTACGCATGTACTTCGCTGCGCTCTGGCGCAACGCACACGAGGATGCGCGAAACGCGACGATCTCGCCGTAGGGTGCAATTCTGGACCGCCTGTTGCGGCCCGGACTGGTCAGGAAACCCTGACCACAAGACGGCCAGCTATCCGTGCGTACATGGCGTGTCTGCGCCATGCATTAGTAGCATGCATAATGCTGCCGCACCTTTGGCTGCAGAGTACCTACCCGCCGTCCACCTACGTAAATGACTGCCTCTCACGTAGCTCCCGGGAAGGAGGGCGTAAAATAGGTGTACCATCCGGGGTCCTGGTACATATTCCTGGATCACAACAGTACGACTACTGTATTATTGTCATACCACAGAAGTCTTCCAGAAGTTCTAGAAGACACACGCAGAAGAACGATGCTTTTGCGCCGCGGAGTGGGAAAAGAGACAGACCATGGGGCACGAGGCCATCCAGGACCAATATCGACGCAGCGATTGCACAGCACTCATGCACCAGAAGTTCCGGACTTCCTCGGATATGCGATTGGGATAAGCCTGGTGGAGTCCAATTGATGGTACCTGGATTGGCAAGGAACGTGCGCGTTGGGTCGTATCGGTCGTCGAGACGGGTCGGGGTGCCGTGTGAGCGCATAATTAGCTTCAATTTGACCTCATAATTTGTTTATCGGTTGAGACCAATCGCCGAGCTATCTTAGTTGCCTATGGTGGATACACTAGCTTGCATATACTCCGTAAGTGAAGTAGGTATGGCGAATCCTCTGCCCATGTCTTCCAAGTTAACGCGCCGAAATATCAGGGACAGGTCCGGCCGTCAATTGCATCTCTTCCAACCTTGTCGCCTACCAAGAGACCCCAATTTATACGGTAGCCACGGATTTTAGTTCCAATGAGATCAGAGGCAGCTCATCAGCATGAACTTATTCGAATCTGTTGGGCGAAGCATTGAAGCGTGTGCTAGGATGCCGTTATAACCGCTGCACTTCGGAAAATGGAACCTCAACAGATATTGGTTTAGGTAGCCCCCAAACCCCGGGCCATAGGGCGCTGTGAGCTAATGAAGACTAGTATACCACCGGGGTGATGCGCCGGAAACGCCGTAACATTCAGCCAGCCGGCAAGCAATGGGCTCCTCGAACTCGAGCTTCTTTAGCATCCCTCGCCTACCAAACAGGAAACCTGTACACCTAGCTAGGACAATGTTGAATGGGACTTCAGCGTGCGTAGGCAGACGCGGCTGGTATGGAGGACCTATTCCAACAATAAAGAGCGATTCCGTAGCAGGCTGATTGTCAGCCACCAGGGCTTCGTCACTGAGACACGGCCGGGGTTATTGGAATAAGCCAAAACAACTCAAGGAATCTGGCCAAAGACAGCACCCAATGATCAAGCCATGTACCCCGAAGAGAATGCTCGTGCAGGCAGCGTGCCACGAACGCGAGTGTATGGGAAAGATAAGTGAAGTCTAGAACGATGAAGGGAAACGAAGAAGGGAATTGCGCCGATCAGATTTGTGGCATACTTGTCACATAAGGTGATGCAGAGGAGGAGTTGATAGGTAGCGGGCCCGACTGAAACATGCTCAAAGGGAGGCCGATGAGAGGACTAGACTAGATAAGTATGAAGGTAGCCTATCCCAAAACAACCACCGATAATTGCAAGACCATTGGCGAGATGGTGATGCTGCAGGTCCAAGTTGTCACCGGCGGCGCTCCTAATTAACCGGCGATCCGGTAATTTACGAGTCTTGAGGGGGGAAGGGGATGGCGGGCCAGCCCATCCCAAGTTCGATAGTTGGAGACTATCCTGGATGAATCCTCTAGCGCGTCCGTCGAGCCAGCAAATCGCCGGGCTTATCGTCTAGCGTGAGCGACCACAGCGGTGTGGCCAACCGGTTCTTGATCGCTCCCGAGCTCCATTTGGATGGCCCAGTATTTTCACGTGTGGCCTGGACGGGGTCTAGAAGCCGGTGCTTCGATCGATGGTGGTTGTGGCTGTGAATGCTGATGGCCTCTCAGACCAGAGAAAACCTGGGCTGCCACTGTCACACCACGGGTGAGGACGTAATGAAGCGCATTATTTATAGAATGGGATTGCGAACCGCGGGGACGATCAGGCGGTGGTGAATAATGTAGTAGTGTTGCCCGTGCCGGGGAAAAGCAGAAATGCTATCCGCTCGGCTTAAGGATGGAGTCAGTCCAGCACAGCATGACGATCCCCGGCGGTGATTAACTCCACCGATAGACAGTGGTCAGTACAGAACAGTCAGGCCCTGTCCAGTGGATTGTTTCAGGAACCTCGTAGGTGCCTTACTACTACCCACCTGGGCAGGGAAAAGAGGTACAACTGGCAGTAATCAAACATTTACACCGTAAGTCGCTGCAGCGGAAAAAATGGTAGGGTAACAAGGTAATGGATTAGTAGCATGTTGTATTGAGTAGATAGTATCAAGTCGAGGTCCCAGCGCAGTTGACTCGACCTGTCCACTGGCAGACAATTCTGGCAAAGGCCCGATAGAGAGCGGGTGAACCAGTGAGAGTAATGAATAGCGCGAGGGGTGCATAACCTGGAATCAGTGACTTGCATCATGGCGCCATTGGCGTAGTACGACTTTGGACTGGCTTTAGACGGTTATACGCGATATAGTTCAGCCCGGAGGAGGGGGTGTCCCTCCCTCCACGGATGAGATTGGACTGTTCTCTGAAACAGAAGGCGGACAATGCTTTGGATATGAATGGATGACAGTGCCAACGGATCACCTCACTGACTCACGTTCTGACACCCTCCCAGATGGGCTGATTATAACCAGTTGAGTCTGGATGCTGGCAAAGAAAGGAAAAGGAAAGGTTCTCGACTTCATTGATGGAGGAGGAGGGGCAAGTCTGTTCCGCCGCTTACCATACATACCACCATGCAGGTTCGTTTCCATACAGTACCCGAACTTGCATTTGTGTCGTCTGTCCAGTCATACTGGTTCTAAATGCCTTGTAACTAATGTGTGCTACAATAGATATCATGAAGGTTGAACTAGAATATTGAATGTCTTCTAAACTTTGCATAAGCTTTATAACCATCAGAATTATATGTTGGGGACAAAGCCCTCCAAGGTGACACCTTCCAGCAATGGTACAGTCATGGAGAAGGGGAACGTACAGGAATATGACAATACCACAGAGATAGATAACTGTAATGTCAATACCAGTAGATCTTCACCATAATTTTCTTATTTCCTGTTTGGAACATTTTTCCCTCACATTTCCCCTCCTTCGTCTTTTTCGTTTTCTTTTCTTTTTTTGCTTATCACGCCTATTTCAACTATTTTTACCTTTTTCGATCTTCCTCACCCCTCACCTCCTGGTCTGCTTTTGCTCCCCTCCTTCTACTCCTCCCCCCCTATTTTTTAGTCTCTCTTATTTCTTTCTCTTCCTTCCTCTCCTTCTCTTTCACCATGTCTCAACCAACTTCTACTCCCCCCGTGCAACCTCCTCATGCCACCACCGCCGCCCAAGTCGCCGGACAGTCCTCCTCCTCTTCCGCCCGCACCACCGAACTCGCCAGTCTTAAAGTAAAGCTGCGTGAGGCCCTGCGCCAGTTCCCCGACTTCCCGTCCCCGGGCATCTTGTTCGAAGATATCCTCCCGATCTTCGCTGATCCCGTTCTGCACGAATCCCTGCTCCGCTGCCTCGAGCTCCACATTCTCGAGAGCAACGGCGGCCAGAAGCCCGATGTCATCGTTGGTCTGGAGGCCCGTGGCTTCCTGATGGGACCTAGCCTGGCCCTGCGCATGGGTGCTGGCTTTGTCCCCGTTCGCAAGCAGGGCAAGCTCCCTGGTCCTTGCGACACCCAGGGCTACGAGAAGGAGTACGGCACGGACTTCTTCCAGATGCAGTCCGATGCGATCAAGCCCGGTCAGAAGGTGATCGTGGTGGACGACATCATTGCTACTGGTATGTTTACTATTTCCCCTTCTCTCTTAAGTTTCACATATTATGTGCGAGCATAGTTGCTGATCAACTGAACTAGGTGGTTCGGCGTATGCGGCCGGTGAACTCATCAACCGTAAGGGTGGTGAGCTGATGGGCTTCGTTTTCCTCCTCGAGCTCGAGTTCCTTCACGGACGGGACAAGCTGCCTGCCCCCGTCTACACTCTTCTTACTGGCCAGGAGACCAAGGCTTAAATGACCCTATGACATGCATTCGAAAAACATTCTTACCTGTTCGGAGGACTGCACGCACAAAAAGAGAAAAAACACATACACGCTCGCTCGCTACCACTCCTGGGAAGTGGTCGAACATGCCGCAGACACTGCGGTAGCAACCCCACGGGGTTTCGCCAGAGATCGCTACGGAATCGATCGCATCGACTGGATGGTCGACATGGGACATGATAGAACAAGCAATTGAACTCCCACCCGCCGGGAACGGCACCGAAACGAACCTGACGTGTTCTCTCCACCAGGGCTATAAAAGTTAAAATACTTGATGTTTACTTTTTTCTTACACGAGTCGATGTCAATCAGGCGTGGCATGGAACTTCAACATTTTTGCATAGACTATGAAATAGCAATGACACCATGAAATGTAATAATACGCTATGCTTATATTATAGAAGATCTAGCAAGACATCTATGTCTATTCTATACCAACCCAGCTAGTTCAACGGAATAGCCGGCCTCATGACCTCCTCTGCCCACTTAGCGGGCAACCCAAGGGCCACCGACTCGCGAATCGCCCGATTCATCCTTGGAACATACTCCGCCTTAGGCGGACCATTCCGCACCCTCACCTCATCCACATACACCAACACGGGCACCGTCTTGGCCTCATTCCCATCAACATTCATCCACTTCACTACCTCGGCCTCGACAACCCACTTGTTATAACTCCCATGACCCTGCTCCTTCTCCCTCACCATGCCCTCCACTGTCCCTTCCTCGGCAGCATCCGGAGCCGAGTAATCGACGCCCTCAAACCCATCGAGGATCCTCTCATCCTCCTCTCCCATATCATACAACACACCGTACACGGCATCTTCATCGACACCGCCCGCAACACCCACCTCGCCGGTCGAGATGCACTCGGCTTGCTGCTTCGAGACGCACATCTCGGCGGGGGGCACGACGTTGGCGTAGCCGCCCTCGTGGATCAGCCAGCGCCATTTAGGAAGGCGGGCGATGGCGAGCGGGATGGAGGAAGAGGGTAGGGCGGTGCAGCGGGAGGCCATTTGCGTGGGGGAGAGGTTGGAGCCATAGGCGAAGTAGAGGGGTTTAGCCGTACCACTAGAGAGGGTGGTTGTGGGGGGTGGGGATGGGGTTGTGGAGGTGAGTTCGGTGAGAGTTGTTGTGGTGGTTGTGGTGGATTTGGCTGCTGAAGTGGCGGTGGTGATGTTGATGGGGGTGGTGGTGGTGTCGACGTCGAGGTCTGTGTGGAGATGCATTTTGTTTGTATTGAGTGAGAAGTTTGGTTTGTAGTGGTTGTAGTTGTGATAGTAGGAAGGGATAGGACTGGTATATAGATATATACTCGAGAAAGAGTGAAGAGTAAGAGAGAGAGAGTGACTGGGATATAGTACCCGAACCAGTCCAAATATAAGTCTATAAGAAAAAGACAAGTAGATAATAACTCTTGCTTTGATTCAAACCAAAGACTACCAACCCTCTAGAGAAGAAAGAAAAGAAACCCAAGTATTTATACCCATCTATCCATTGCCCCCCTCTCCAAATCACAAATCACTAAATCAGGGACACATTCCAAACCACGTAAACCTTAAACCTCCTCGCTTTCAATTTCGCCATCCCGCGCGCCGTTCGCCTTACATTATACTTTTTCTGTTTCGGTTCTAAATCGGCAGGGACGGGTTTGGTTTCTCTTCAATGGATCGATTTTCTCCACGGGGGGGGGGGGGTTTTACCGTTTCGACCAATCGGCAAGTAAATCTGCCCCACCGCCACTTCTTCAGCCTGAGGCTGAGCAAAGCTGAGTCATCTGTCTCCCCGTGGACAGCCATATTCCCAACCAATACCTTTCCTAACCATTAATCTTAATGGCGACAGTTGACGTGACGGGCGGATCTTCGGTTGTGGAGGTTGGAGGGGAGACCCGAGTGATTGCCGATCAATCTTTTATCTTTCCGCTTCGGAGGTTGCCGTATGGAGGTGGCGAGAGATTGAATGGAGATCTTCGTTGAGTTGGTATGTGTGTATGTCATGGGTTTGGCTATGGTATGTTAATGTGCAAGGTGGGAGGTGGGAGGAGTGACGTGTACTGGGAATGCATGCTACTACGTATGTTATTATACTATGCTATGATGCTATCTTAGGTAGGTAGGTAGGTAGGTACTCGTTGCAATGGCTACGTACCAGGGTAGTACATATGTCGTCTCACAAAATATACAAATTATTGATGGGAACACCCTGCGATCGTACTGAATATCGCCGTTTGATTCCCACTCCTGTCGCCTGTCGCAGTAGCTCGTATGTCTCTTGCCCTCCGCCTACCATGACCACGCTGAGCAGCTGGCGCCGCGGGACGCCCGCGGCTGTCATTTGCGTCTCGTCCAGATGGGGCCGCACCAGATAGGGTTCTGCACGGACCGCGGCTAACCCGGGGGTTGTGGTGGTGGTGGTGTCTGATCCGTCGTGCTGCTCCTCGACTTCGTCGTCGTAGGAGACCACGATGACGAGTTTCAGGGCGTACCGGGAAGGCGGGTACGCGGCGATGTTGCGCAGCTTCTGTGAGAAGCTACATCCGCCGCGTTTGATCACGAGAACCTGGTGGTTCTGTGCTACTTCTCGGAGGATGCGGTCGTCGCAGAGATCGTCCGCGAAGTAGATGCTGTTCCAGGTGAGGCGTTGCTTGGAAGGGTCGCCTGTGATGGAGACGGTTGTGGCGTCTTCCACGTCGGGGAGTGGGGCGGAGCCGAGCCCCGTGGAGATGGCGGCCGGGAGCAGGAGACGTAACGAGGTTGGTTTCTTCTTCTGCGGCAGGCTGGTCTGGCCTTGCACTTCATCCCGGAGGAGAGTGGATAGGGTGTTGACCAGCGAGGAGAGGACGGTCTTCATGCTGGAGGTCGATGCGTCTACGCTGCCGACTTTGCTGTCGACGGCGCTGGAGCCGTGGACGATGGCTCCATTGGCACGTCGAGGTGCAGCTGGTTCATGACTATCATCTGAATCATTTCGTCGACGGATAGACTCTGGGATAACGTCAATGACGATGTCAACCATGGCGGTGTCGCGAACCCGCGTGAAGTTCGGGTCGGTGGGGTCGAGGACATCAAATGTGATTTCCCGTAGAAGATATACCTTCTCGTCTTTGCCCAGCGGCACGTTGTTGATCACCTGGACTCGGAATTCGTCCCCTTCTGCGCTACCGGTTTCTCCTAACACAGGGACATCCTGGACCATACTCAGCCGTAGACCCCCGATGGCTTTGATGAAGATGCCATCGCGCACTCGTTCCAGCGATCCGGGCCCCACGACCATGCCGGGAAGCGCGGGGAAAGAGATGTCGAGCGTTGGGCGAATTGTCATTGGTGCGCTGGTCGCGTTGAACGGGACCAGCTCTGGAGGCAATGTCCACGGGAAGAATGTGTAGTTGGTGGGCGACGACAAGTCTGACACTGATACGCTCGGGTGGTCCCGAGCATAGTCCAGAAGAGGGCCTTCCGCTACGCCTCTACTCGGCATAAGATGTAGACGTGCCAGGTTCGCGGCGTGGAACAGATCGGACCGAGCCGCAGTGGATGAGACTCCTAGTGTTGGAGGCTCAGGTGCTGTTGGGCAAGTCAAACCCTCGCTTTCCACATCGACCGGTACCTGCTTGCGCTCAGCGCGCTGTGCCGTGCTGTTTTTGGGTATAATAAGAGGGTGGCCCTCGGTGGAAAAGACGAATGGCTGATCTAGCTTGTTGAGGGGATGGTCAAAATCGTACAGCAGAAACATGTACTTGGCAGTTTCACCCAGGAAGAAGCTTTCCATGCGGTCATTGAGCTCGCCATTGCGGACGTCCTGAATACCGGCCCAACCGCACTTGGTCCAGCATCGCCGTTTCAAATCCCGCAGTACCATCTCACCGACATGCAGGTACCAGGGGTCCTTTGTCGCTCGGTAGAGGTAATAAGTAGATTCGACGAATTCAGGGCGGCCGCCGTACCAGGAAAGGCCCTGCTCAATGTCACCAGTGGCGACATTCCATCGTTCAGGCAGTCCGGAAAACCGAGTCCAGACTGCCGTCGTCAGAAGATGGATGCCGATAGCTTCGTCCACCTCTCCCGCCAAAGTAAGAAGTCCGGGGTAGAAGGCGCTGAGACTGTCGATCCAAAAAGCACGAGTCGCTCCGGTGAAGATGTCTCCCTGGATTAAGTGCGGATGTTGATGACCCTCTCCTCGGTACAGGTGACGTTTGATCGAGGCATGAGACTCCTCCCAGACCTTCAGAAAGGCATCGGCGGAGTGCTCATATTCTGAAAGTGGCAAGAAATAGTCGTCCAGAACATGCCATGGGCTGCTGGTATTGGCCGGGGGTCGTTCCCCTGACGATAGTAGCACGTAGGACTTGAATGCATACTCGAAAAAGCTATCAATTCCTGCGCCAATCTGAGACATCGTATTGTTAGCCACGTCTAGATGCACGTGCTCGAAAACTCACCCCAGTGTAGGAATGAACCCATCTGCCAGACTCGGCATCAATACCAGACCCTATCAGTCCAATATCACTCCTCCTTGCCCAAACGGCCCAGAATGCCCGCTTGGCAAGCTCCTCATACCGCCCATCGCCTGTAAGCCTGCTCAAGACCGTAAACTCTAGGACCAGACTACCAGCGCCAGCGCTGCAAGTTTCCGTAGTCTCAAAAGTCGAGGAGCGGCGAGGCTTTTGGCACTGTTCAGGATTGGCTTTGTCACATGTAGGGGCTGCATTGAACGGCGAGTTTGCGTAGTACGGCTGCCGTTGCACTCCGTATTTCAGGTTCACTCGAGGGTAAGGGAGACCAGTATCCGTATAGAACGCGGGCAAGATTCGATTCGCAAGATCGACAGCAAGTCGTAGAAGTTGGCCATCGTAGACAAATCCGTCCTCCCACTCGATGCCGTGACTACCTTCAGGGAAGGAATGTTTATCCCAGGCTCTGGCGAAGTTGGCTTCGGCCTCCGGCGGATTGTATCCGCTGATAGGAAGATCGCCCACAGCAAAAAGATGAGCGCTGAGTAGACCACCTAGAAAGAACCATTAATCGATGCATACTCTCCATCCACAAAATCCGATGCCTACCTAATCCTCGAATCACCGTCTCGAACACCTGCACTTTGCTATCCATATCGAACCCTCGACCCCTCTGGCCCTGGCCTGCGGGGCCATTGGATCCATCACCGTACAGTGTAACAAAATCCTTCACTCCGTTTTGAAAGTAATTCCACGCCTTCTGGCCCTGGTCGGGACTCGAGGAAAGTATGGCCAGGGAGGACAGACTGTCGATCAGAGTCAAGGAATAATTTCCCAGGACATCGTTGAGCTCTGCATGCGCGGGATTATCTCGGTCGCGAACCAGCGGACGGCATGTTAGAGGGCGTAGTTCGTCTTCAGGAAAGGCGTGCTCGAGATAGTTGTCGAATCCGTGGTAGAACAGATGCTCTGTCTCCTTCCTAGATATCGAAAGGTGTCAGTCGATCGGCCTCAATACCAGGGAGATTAGAGATCTCAGTTATGGGTGGTGAGATTTACCTGAGCTCCTTAATCTGATCGGTCCGCATGCCCTGGGCCATGGTGAGCCACAGCGCCAGCTGCAAGACCCAGGTCAAGATCCATGCTGAACGGAGGGCGGACATCTGCGAGTGCCAACATCCCGAGCGCATTACCGCAGTAGCGAAACAGTTATCAATGGCATGGGAGCGCGTTGATGAACTGTTGAATGTGGAATCCCCGCAGACCGGCGAACTGAATTGCCTCCAGAGAAAGGGTTCCTGGAGGGAAGAGGCTAGAGGGGAAGTTGGTGGTGGCAGCGGCGCCGCACGTGAGGTCGTATTCAATCCGCGGCGAACCAATTTGCGGCCAGATATCCCGTTCACATTCTCTCCACTCCCCCCTTCCCTTCGGACTACAGGATCCCTTAATTCCACTATAGGGGATGTCTACATTATTAATACATAGTTTTTGATGAATCAGCTTGCTTACGGTGGGCCTCGTTCCCGGATAATTTCACATTTAGACGGTTAAAATGTACTTCGCAGTAGAAAACCAGGCTTAATGAAATAGCGCTCAAACAATGCTGGCCGGATAGATCAGTGTGTATATGCCAATGTAACTCCCGCTTCATCCAAAAAAAATCAAGTATAAACAAAACGAAGAAACAGCATATGGTTGGTGATGAGAAAGTCGCCAAAAAAAGGAAGGAAGCAAAGTCACAGGGGATATCTCGAGCAAAGGAAATACAGATGAAGGTGATCACAGTGCCGCTATATAAAGAATTTTGCGGATAACGAGACGATTGTGGATGTCATTGTGTCGGTGAATCCAGCTTCAGTATGTCGAGAAAAGAGAGAGGGATATGTACGGGTCACGGTTGATGCCCTGGTTCTTCAGGAATGCGCCATTGCGTGAATGATCGGGGTTGCGCTTCTATCACATAGTCGACGCCGTTGTCCGAGGTGTAGCTAGGCGGCCGTGGGATCCGCGATTTGTTGCTCCCATGCCTGCCAACGCCCTTTGCATTGCTATTCTCGATGCGCTGCCAGTACAGCAAGTCGGGGTTGATCCTCTGCATAGTGAAGTCAGTGGGGCTGGTCACCATCTAGGAAACACATGTATTTTGTAAACATGGCGATACTTACCACACTTTCTCGCCAGAGACCGTAGGCCGGAGGAGGCGCCGTGACCTTTTCGCGCACGGCATTCGGGCTCGCTGCTCCGACGTCCTCATCGCCAGCTAAGATAACGTGGATAGGACGCGCTGGTTGCGCATAGCCGGCTGGCCCTGCCCTGCTGGGTATGCGGTTCGTAGCGACATCAGAGTCAGGCCGTCGTAACAGTGCCATCAAGAAGCGCGTGAGAGAATGACAGAAAACAATGCCAAGAATTAAGATCATGAAGATGAGAAGAATTTGGAGCTCTCGGCCCAATGTCGTACGGGATGCAGCGAATGCGAGGTAAATGGCGATAACGAGTATGAGGAAACATGCGGATATAACTAGCGTGATCAGTCGCCTCCGCAGTTTCTTCTCCTTCAGCCGTGATATGAACGATTGCCTGCATCGGAGGTCTTCAGGGTCTGGCGGGGGGTGTGCTCCATGCGAATCTCGTCCTGAGCGCGCATGCGACCGTGCTTCGCCGGAGCTTCCTGCTGCTGCGGACTGCAACTCAATTGGGACATACGGTCCTCTTGGCGCATATTGAGATGCAGCAGCATCTCTAAGAGAACTATGCGACGGTGCTGGTCGACCAGGTAGACGCGATTCGCGACGCCCAGCGCGGTCACCAAGGATTCGTTGTTCCAGGTCGAGACGATGGTCGGCTACCCATGATGTGAATCGCTCCTCCCGATTGGGAGCTCGTTGGACTTGGTCATCAGCGATTGACCCACTGGAATTGACATGCGAAGAGCGATCGGGCGAGAACATGCCGGGGATCGAGCTGGAATGTGTTGTCGATCCCGAATGAGACAGCTGAACCGATTCCATGTCAACTCAAACTAGCAGTCGTACAATGACATCTGGACAGACGCAGGGCGCGACTTTCAAGTGCTTCGCAGAGATCACTGATGAGTATTATATGCGTCGATAGTGGGAACTCCAATCGCGTATAAGATATGTTCTGCGTCGATATGTACTGCCCACTTCCGCATTCGTTGAACAACACACAAATAAGCGTCGCGGGAACGCAGAACCGGATGCAAACCGCCTGGAATGAGGGCCTTTACGACGCAAAGCGGACAATTGCTAGCGAAGGCGGATATCTGTGGCCGAACTGGGAAATTGGTTATGATTTCGGACGCTATACATTCATAATGAAGATCGAGCCTGGGGTGTAGGAGGGGGGCCCAGGGGAGAGCAGCATCAGACGCAGGAATCCCGATCGCGAAGTCACAGGACACGGGCGATGGCGACCCAAAGGCAATTAGATAGCAAGAGGATTTGGTGGAATTGTATCGGGATAGAGTAGAAGAAAAGTGGATTTTGAAAACGAACGCGCAGAAAAAGCGAAGGAACAGGGCGAGCACCAGGCCAGCCGGTTAGGAGAGGGCAATTCGGTTCAGCACGGAGAGCGAGAGTGAGAGAGGTTCGACGAACAGTAAACTATTATACCCGAATGATAGTTCCGGACGGAGAGGGGATAAGATATCACAGGGGAAAAAGCAAATACTAATGGGCAGATGCCGATAAGAATGAGGAGAAAAGATGAAGAAAGTGGAAGCAAAAAGAAACGTTGGAAACAGATACTAGTAGCAGAGCCTCAGATGTTGTTGTATGCAAGCAAGAACGAAAGATCCATACTATGAACCCGGAATAAACAATGAGATGGGGAAAGCGAGCGAGAGAGAAACAGAGAGAAAGGGAAGAGCTGAGAGAGGCAGAGAGTAACTAACGAGAGAGAGAGAGAGAGACACTTCCCGTTCCCCAATGGGTAATTATTACGGGCGACTAAGAGAAGGGAAGTGGTGCTGCTAAGCAGCTTAGTTGGTTACAGACAGTTTCTCTCTCTCACACGCAGGCCTTTCCTAAACAACTTTGATAGGAAGTAACTTTCATTCATTCTGCCGTTTTGATATTATTATTAGCCATCATTTCCCCATCCTACCCACTTCTCTACGTATAACTGACGAAACTGGAATCCAGTTTGCACAACCGGCCTGATCCGAAAAATATTATTATTAGTAGCTGGTTAGCTGGTTGATGGACTGCCGAATGCTGATTTGGCGTCTCTCCTCGTTCCTCTGCTTTAGGGGCTGACCATTTTACCCCTGGATGACCCACGTTGCCCTGATATAGACACGGACACCATTCAATACTAAGTATAGCCACAGCTCCCCTCCCTCGGCCCCCTCTTCCCCCCCCAAAACCAAGTCCGAGCTGTCCGATAACAACCCACAGCTGCTGCATAGCTATTGATCTTACGCCATAGCTGCCTTCATCTAAGAATTGATCTATACTAGTTCACTAGTCTGGTCTAACGGACCTGTGCACTGGTAACTACATCTGTGCTCCTTGATACTCTTCCCCGTGGCATCAATACTTTCGGTTCTGACGGGCGGATGCTTGGATGCGGGTAAAGATTATACTAATAATACTAATACCAATATTAAGGATGGCTGTGGCTCCTCGCGCCTGAAGGAAGCCAACTGTTTCGGCCTCACAGTCAGGTCCCCCTCTTAGGACCCTCTTCCCAAGGGGGCCAATCGAGCGCCAATGAATCCCTCGACGCGCTGGTAATCTTCATTTAGAGCGGCTACCACAGCTGACTGAGACAAAGCTGGCCCGTAGCTAGGGTCATTTATTGCCATGATCCTCCAACGTTACACAAATGGAGTGCGAGCCATTATCATTCTGACGTATATTATTACACTTGTAAGGCATTGAATATATGGATATACTGCGCTCCACGGGAGGTATTCAAATAATGGTAGTAATCCATTTCCCCGTCATGCGGCTGGCCGTTCTCCCCGGTTCTGCCCATAATGGCTAATCTACCAGCCTTGGTTGACACGTTTCAACCGGCAAGCTAGGTTGATGCTGGAAGGTTCTCTTGCCATCACTATTCGCCACAAGTCTAACTAAACTTGATGGAGCGGGGACCCGGAATTTGTTGTCATAGATAAATGCTGTTCGTAATGAGACGGATTAAACTCGCGATTGTGTTGGCTGGGTGTGCTGCACATGCGCTTCCCCTCACTTGCCAAGTTCACCGAGCATGAGCGTTCTATCGGACGATCCCGAGACAACTATAGACAGACATTAGTATACCAACGACTTTCCCCAAGCCTGGTGTGACTTACTGATGGGCTCATTGTTTGGTGAGAACCGGACGTCATTGACGGTCCCCTTGTGTCCAGGGAGCTTGTATAGGATTTTGCCGGACTTCGAGTTCCAGACTACGACACTTCTGTCACCGCTGCCCGCCGCAATCTTCTCTCCACTTGGGTCCCAACTGGCCCGGATAAGGTTCTTCTCCAGACCGACCGGCGCCCCGTCAAATGTCCTGACGTGTCGGTTGGCCGGTGCGAATGGCCGGATGTCCCACGTGCGTACAGTCGAGTCGTGTGAGTTGGAAAGAAGAGTTTGCGAGTCGGGCGAAATTTCGAGCGAGGTGATGGTTTCCGTGTGGCCCGCCATGGAGTAGACGATGCCCTTCTTCCGTAGATCCCAAGCATGAATAGTGTTATCGATACCACCACTGTAGATTTCGTTACCCGCCTCCGAAAGCGCCACTGCCGTGATGGGCAACTCGGTTTCCAGGTATTCGATGGCATCCTTTTGCCGGGGATCCCAGATTCCTATGCAGCCGTCGTCACTTGCGCTAACCAGCAATTCCTGGCCTCTTTTGCTTATGTCAAGACAATTGATAATCTCCTCGTGCCCAATGTGCCGGCGTATCCTTTGTCCGGTCTCGAGATCCCAACTAGCGAGCGTCATGTCGGCCGATGCGGAAAATAACGTTCTGGAGTCGCGCGACCATTGAAGATCAAGAACTGCTCCCCGATGACCTGATAGCGCACCATAGTTTTCGCATTGTCCGTATGTGTTCCAAAGCACTGTTGTCGACTCTGCGATTAGCCTGCACCTTCTAGCCACTATAATCAGACGAAACACGTACAGATAGATCTATCCATTGAGCCCGAAGCAATGTGCTGAGCAGTGGGATCAAACCGCACCGAAAAGATTTCACCAGAATGACCTAGTATTATCCATTATATGTCAGACTTGGTTGCAAGTCACCGCGGTGGTGCAGCTCACCATTCATTTCCATAATCGGTGCTTGAAGCCCGCTGGTGCGGGGAACCTATAACCAAGTCAACAATGGAACCTGACAAAAACCTCACTTCTCCAACAAAATGAGACAAAGCATACTGATTGAATCAGAGCTCCATTTTGCGACGAGCTCTGGACGATGGCTGTGCTATCATTGAGACCGGCGTCGGACTTCTTTCGCTTGACGACAAGCTGGTTCGATGAGCCAAAGGCTTCTTGCGCAGGTCGCTTTTCCCCCGACATCGTTGGAAGTAAATTCAGCGGGCGAGCTCAATCAATGGGTATGCGAGTCGAAGTAGGGATGGAGGCTGAGTGTAGAATGCAATCAAGCCTAGTAGCTGGGGAAATCTGGACTGGACGCGCCGACCCGGACTAAGTCTTGCGTCCGAGGCTCTAAGCATGGTTTCTGCGTAAGCGCCAACCAGCCGCGCTAGGCGCCGAGCGCTGGTCCACCAGGCGCGTGAAGCTCCGCCTCAGGCCCCCTCGGTCCACCGAATCAAGCGGGGAAGAGTGCGCATTGCTCTTGTCATTGTTTACCAGCCGCTTGCAAGCTTGAGTTATTGTGAGATTTTGCGTCGTTTATATTATTTACTTTGACTCCGGGCTTAACGAGCGTGATTAGCAATCATGTCATCTGCAACAAAAGCGTCTAGGATTGGGGAAGAGTAAGCGGTTCATTTACCTCCCTTGACCAGTAACCCCTTACTAACGTTCTGAACCCGACAGGCTGTGGAAGTCAGTAAGCTGCATGCGCATAGTTGGCGCTCGAAGGCCCCTGAGGAACCGAGCGAAGCCAGCTTGAAACGGACGGACAACTGACATATTCCCGACCTTACCAGGACGAGAGTTGACAAAGTGAACGCCGAGTTGGTAACATTAACGTACGGTACAATTGTTGCGCAACTTTGCCAGGACTACGATGGAAACTACCAAGAAGTGAACAAGCAACTGGAGAAGATGGGCTACAATATTGGAATGCGACTTATCGAGGACTTTTTGGCCAAGTCGGGCGTGGGCCGTTGTGCTAATTTCCGGGAAACAGCGGATATGATCGCAAAGGTATCTTGAATTCAACAGGCGGAGCACTTGGCCGAGACTATATGGACCTCTGTGAGCTGACGAGTGTTATGCCAACTGCAGGTTGGGTTCAGGATCTTCCTCAACATCGCGCCCACGGTCACCAACTGGACGAGTGACAACAACCAATTCTCTCTCATATTTGAAGAGAACCCGTTGGCGGATTTCGTTGAGCTGCCCGATGACGGACGGGCTCAAGATGAGCTGTGGTTTTCCAATATTCTCTGTGGAGTTCTGCGGGGTGCATTGGAGATGGTAAGACGGCGTGCTGCAGGGAGTTGATCAGTTCTCTGCTAGCCACTTCCATGCATATCTGTGCTAATTCTGGGAACAGGTGCAAATGCAGATCGAGGCGCATTTTGTGAGCGACGTTTTGCGGGGCGATGATACAACGGAAATGCGGGTATCACTTGTAAGGTACATTGAGGATGAGATGCCACCCGATGAGGAGTGATAGCGTCAGCCGCATGGTTCTGAAAATTGTTTATACACGTAGAGGCGTCTGGTGTTATGAGGGTTTAATCCGCCGATCTGGAGCTGCAGTTACCAATGAATACTACCTCTATTACGATTTATGATTGATACTGAGTCTTGCATCTGTAATTCCAGTCTAGAGTTCTCGCACTAAACCCCATTTACATAGAAGGTCTCCTGCAGGTCACCAGATCAAAACACCCATTCATTGTCACAGACGGACAAGATGAACAATTGCATGAAAGCGAAATTAACGAGAAAAGGAATTTACAACGGATATCAAGGCCTAGAACATGACCTGTCAATATAGTAGATCCCATCTTTACAAAGGGTCGCTCTCCGAACCCGGAGCATGGGGATCTACACGGGTGCCATTAGCATGACAGGCGCACTGGTACCTCATCAAGGCGGTGTGAGATTCTGCCATCCCGGAGAAGACCACCGACGCGATTCAGGTCCCTGTAATTTAACCGGAGAGAAAACCAGCTTCACGGTAATTGTATTTCACAGGCTTGAGAGGTGATTTTAGACGATATAAGACTACAAAATGTGTATAATATGTAGTGTAATGATTTTCCGGTGAATCAAGAGCGGAGCAATCTCAATTTAAATGTCGATAGATTCAGGCCAACACATCTCCCACGGAGGACGGCCCGCACTATTCACGACTCGGCAGTGATCGGAGACTGACGGCCGTGACCTGTACTCCGTCTGATTGATACAACGCGATCCAGTCTGATCCTGCTGATCTAGCTATGGAAAAGTGTAATCACAGAGCGGCAGAGCCCGGACTTTGTCCCGAAAGAGCTAGGATAGAGATACCGTGCGCGGGGAAGGGTAGAGATCTCAATTGATATCTTAACTCGTATGATGTGCAACATCAGTATCTAGACTGCTAACAATTCAACACAGAAGTCCGGGGAACGGCAGGATGGGCAGATCGGCGCAGGAAATCCTCACCCGGCGGGAGAGGCACCACGTGATGCGCTAGACCAAAACGGGGGCAAAGCATCCCATCATTCCCAGGGTGTGCCAGGATATACGCGGTGGCGAGTCTGCGATTCAGGAAAAGCAGCCTCAAACTGTCAAATAGAGAATAAGAGAGGGAGGAATCGCTGTGTTATTCACTTTTTGAAATATTTTCTAGTGATCTCGATAATTTGAGAAAGTCATTGAATACGAATTGTCTATTTCAAATCTATAGTATAATATTCATTTGTGTTAGTGGATTCAAATCAATGAATCGATCAATTACATTGTGAAGGGTCGCGGTGATTCCGCTGTATCAGATACACTTTATACACCACCAGATCGGGTGGATCACTCGGCGCGTGTTAATGCTTCGGAGTCCAAAGGAAGCAAGAGACTGAGAGTGAATTAGTAGTGAGAGAGAGACAGGTATCTTATATAACTTATAACCAGCCTCTTTGATTTATTTGAAATTTTTACCGGCATCTTCTCCTTTTTTTCTCGTTTCATCTCTCTCTCATCGCAATCGAATATACTGGTAAGTTATTGCTCCGATCTTGAATCTTTCATGCTTGTTCTATTAGAATAGTCCTTCATGTAAATCATCATCTGTTGTCTTTCTACTATCTCATTGCCTGTCAACTCTTCTCTCTGTGTCTCTCTCACTGTTACAAATTTTTATTTTTTCCCTTCGGGATTTCCGCTGGAACTGCATGCTGAGATATACGCGAGCCAGCCGCATCTCCCAGCCCTCCCACGGCGTTCCGGGCAAGATAATCCGCGCCGAACAAGCGATTCACGCCCGGCCGGCAGTGATTGAGCAACTCCAGGCACCGCGCCTGATATCCACGTCCTCCCACCCACCAGAGAACACCTCAGATCCACCGCTACACCTTGTCCTAACCTTTGCCTCTCTCTCTCTCCTCCCTCCCCCCCCTCCACTTCCTACTCTTCAAATCTGCCGGATCTCTCCGTCTGTCCCCCCTTTCCTTTTGCTACAGGGGCTTTTGAGGATACTTCTGCTACTTCTGAAGTCCTCTCACATCCTTGGCTTTGGCTGGTACCCCCCGTCGGGTTGCGTCTGGTCGGGTTCTCTCCTATACCTCGTTCCCGTCCTTTGCCATCCTGTGTCGCTTGTTCGCCGCCCTGCCCCCCCGGCTGATCTTACCGCGCATTTTCGGTCAACTGGCTTTTGTGAACAAGTACACCAATCCTTTCTTCTCTTAATCTTTTTTTCTCCTTCCTTATCCCGCCTGTCTCCTGCTTTCAACTGGACCGTGTCTCGATTGAAAGTCCTTTTGCCCGCTTGTGCTCCGTCTCGCCTCACCTTGTGGAAGTCACCGAAGATTCTTTCTCTTCTTCTCTCCCAGTTGCCGTATGCTTCTGAGTGGGCCACACTCGCCTTCCCTTGTTGGTGATCATCGCGACACCTTTGCTCTGCGTTGTCCTATACTCTCCGTCAGAGATACCCCCCTCTACGTCAGTTAGCGTGAAACGATATCGCGGGTTCAACTTCCGCCTAGATTAGCCCCGGAACCCGGCTTACTCCCTGGCGATCGCGCATTCAGGTCTGGTTACGAAGCCGTTCTTAACACTGGGCTGGAAGCGTCTGTGACCCTGCCTTGTACATTCCCTCGCCTCGGGACCTTGATTGCCGCGCGCTGCGCCTCGTCGCTTCCTTTGTGGTGAGCTCCCTCGCCGCAAGACGGTGGATGCGCGTTGAACGTTCTCGGACCCCCCGACGCTTTCCCATCGAAGACAATAACTAGGTGAGGGTGGCTGGACCCTTCTTTTGAGTGCCACCATGAATCAGATGAACCAGATGAACCAGATGAATATGGCTGGAATGAACCCCGGTGCAGGGGGCCCAGTGGGAGGTGTGCCCATGATCAACAATGGCTCTGCCACCCCCCGTAACGAACAAAACATCAACATTCCTGAAAACATGATCAACAACCTCAACACTTATATCTACGATTATTTCTTGAAGCGCGGCTACCACGATTGTGCTAGGGCGCTTGTGAAGGATGAGTCCATCAAACTTAATACCGAGCCGCCGATCAAGACGAGTCCGGGTCATCGTCGCGATGCCGACGTGAACGGTGTCGACGGTGATACAATGATGACGGATGGAAAGGATGGAGATAAAATGAAGATTCCTGATGACCTCCCCCGCCCTAATCTCCCTAATGAAGGACAGCAGTCGTCATTCCTCCTTGACTGGTTTAGCCTTTTCTGGGATTTCTTCTGGGCTCAGCGCAAGAAGGGAAACAGCAATGACGTGAGGAGTTATCTTACACACACCCAGGTACGTGCTCTTTACTCTTTGCCGCCTGTCCGGACGTCTAACTGAGGCTTTGTAGAATATGATGCGCCTCAGGGAACAACATCAGAATCAATTATTACGACAGCAGCCACTGATGAATGGACAGATGGGCCAAATGAATATTCGCCGGAACGGCATGGTCCCCCCTAATCTTCAAAAGACTGTGTTGCAGAATAATACTTCTGGCCTGTACGCGCCCCCTTCCCTATCTCCTGCGCCACCTCGCAAGAGCGTTCGGACTACATTGGTACTGACTGCGTCTTTCACAGATCGCAACAACAACTCGCCCAGATGCATAAAAACCAGCAGGTCCAGCTGATGCAACAGATGCAGCGAGAGCATTCGGACATGGACATGAACGGCCATCGACCCCAGTCCCCCGCATCGGCAGAAAATGCCCCGTCTCCGTCGAAACGACCTCGCCTCGAGGGTGGCCCCATGAACGGGCAGCAGCTGGCACCCAACGGACGCGGTCAGGCCCAGGGTATCCCCGGCCAGCCCACCCCGCAAGCACTTTTGATGCAGAACGGACTCAATCGGGCGATGAACCCCAATCAGTTCCAGGCTTTCCAGCAGTCGGGACCGGCTGCGCAGCAGAAACAGATGCAGGTATATGCTCACAACTTGGCCGTTCATCACACACGCTCAGCATTGACGAACCAGGGCATGCCGAATGGTATGATGAATCCCGCGAATGTCATGGCAAACCCGCAGACGGAAATGGTGTCCATACCGGAAGGCCAGGTGTATCCCATCAACGGTGACTACTATGGCGCGAATGGTCAAATGGCCCAGGTTCGGACGGGGATGCAGACACCTGGCGGTCAGCACGGCAACCACGCTCTCCAGGATTATCAGATGCAACTTATGCTGCTCGAACAGCAGAATAAGCGGCGTCTGATGATGGCTCGCCAGGAGCAGGACAGCATGGCTCGGCCTGATGGCCAACCCCCAATGCCCGGGCAGCAGTTGCCACCAGGCACCTCGCCCCAAGGCAGCAGGGCTGGCACATCGCCGAATCCCAACGACCAAATGAAGCGAGGCACCCCGAAGATGCCCCAGACCGGCCTCCCCGGATCACCGAGCGCTGCCGACGCGATGGCCCAGGGCCGTGGATCCCCGGCATCCATGAACTTCCCTGGTGGCCAGATGCCTCCCGAGATGGCGGGTCCCCAGTTCTTCGTCAAGAACATGGCTGATGGTATGGCGGCGCCCAACGGCATGCGCCCCCCGAGCTCCAATCCTGCGTTCAGCGCCCCTCAGATGGGTCAACCGATTCAGGCTGGTGCTGGCAATCGCATGCCCAACGGAGGTTGGCAGCCGCAGCAAGGAGCTCAGGGCCAGCCGATGGCGCCGCAGCAGTCGCCTGCGACCCAGCCTCAGTCCACGGGAACGCCTCAGGAAAGGAATGCCATGCCGCCGCCCCAAGCTCCCCCAGCACCTGGTGCCAACGTCGGTCGAACCCAGCCTCCGTCGCCCCAAACCGCCGCTCCGCCGACGCCGCAGCAAGGCAACAAGCCCGCTCCGAAGAAGAAGGAGACCAAGGATAGCCGGAAGGTATGTAATCAACGCTCTTGGTTGTTGACCCCCCTTGTCATCTCATATTGAACGCAAATCTTAGCGACCGAAGAAGGGCGCTGCTGCTGCCGCCGCCGCCGCCCAGGCGAACACGGCTGCCACGCCATCTTCCGAAGCAGAACACCCGCCGACTCCTACGCCGTCGACGCCGATCACGCCCCAGCATCCGAACTCGTTCAACAAGGCCGGTGCAAATGCTACGACTAGTGCTCCGCAGCAGCCAACGTCTGCCCCTGCACCTCCGCCACTTGTTCAACAGCCTCCGGACCAGACGCAGCAGCCTTTCAATGAACTGAGCATCCCTGATGTATGTTCCTTGCCTCTTTCGTTATGTTCGGTGGATATTATACTTACATTGTTGAGCAGGCATCGGCTTTCAACCTGGACTTCAGCGCTTTAGAAAACCCGGATATCCTGGAGAATTTCGACTTCGATACGTTCCTCAACACTGATGCAGACACTGCTGGATTTGGATTTGACCCCAACATATCGTATCCAACCGATGGTGTTGAGACCGGTGCCGGTGATGGCTTGTGAAATGAAGTCCGACGGTTGTTAAGTCCTTAACTCATATACCCTTGTTCTGTACATTTCCATAAACTTGAGTTCGTGCTTGTGCTTCTTTGCTTTTTGCTTTTCACGTGTCATTTTTTTTTTCTCTGCTTGTTTTCGCATCGCGTCTTCTCCTATCCTTGTGTTCTGTCGACATGATTTGGATATGTGCCCAAGTGACTAGGCGTTGGTGTATCCTCTTTTCCTTTTGCATATCCTTTCTTTCACTCTGCCAACCAGAAGTGTCGACCGGCTTCCGATGGGATTTGCTTGATTGCCCTGCTTGTATTCAAGCTACGTTCCAGTGGCCTCGTGTGACTGCTTTTTATATCCTCTTATCACTATTACTACTTGATTAATCTGGTCATCAAACTTCCCAAAGGGCCATCGAGTGATGCGTTTCTCCACCATCCTAGCGTTAGTCATGCTCCATTTAATGCTCGAGAATACTTACATCACAAGATGCACCCCTGGCCCTTTCTTTCTTCTTTCCTTTTCTTTCTTCAACCAATCTCTTTCCCTTGACAAACCTTTTCTTTTTCTCTTTGCGGTTTGATTCCATTTGAATCTTCTTATTTATACCTTCTCCTTCTACTTCTTTATATTACTTATTTCCTATGTTGATCTCCTTATCGTGTTGTGGCGTTATAATCAACGAGGCTCTAGTCGTTATTGACTCCTCTCAGGGAAATGGTTTCATGAAATCGAGAAAGATACTCACGTTCTTCTCTGCTGTTCTTTTTTTCCTCTCTTGACTGACTTAACTCTCTTGCTACCGTATCACATTAAATCGAACTGCCTGCTTCCTGCCGTACATTTTACTGCACTGCTGCTGCTACCTAAGTCTACCTTCACCGCCTGCAGTTTTTCCAGCCTTTTAAACCAGATCTGTCCGGAAGACACGTCTCGTCTCGTCTCTGTTTGATATTGGTGTATGAGTGTGTGAGTGAATGTGTGTGTATAGGGAACCAGGCCAAAAGCGAACTTCTGGAGTAGTTTGAACCAAGATTCAGCTGTCTGTTTGATTCCCTCCCCTTTCGTACATATCATATTACATAGCTAGTTATCTGTCCTCTGGGGTAGAATGATAACCAACTGATTACTTGGTGTTGACTCTATCATTACAAGAGATTACTTCGCAGTATGAACTACGCTATAGTCGAAGTAAAGTAACTAAATCGTCAACACAAGCTGCTTACTGCTTACTGCTTACTGCTTACTGCAGCTAGTTAACTAGTTAGGCTAGCTAGCTAGCTGCATGGCTGCACATCTGCATGCATACATGTAACAGGTCAAATCAAATCAAATCAAATCCCCTTCAAGTAAATAATAAGTTGCCAAAGTAACATGCCATCTATCATCGAACCATCTAATTCATTTTGATACTTGCAAACAATTACTTGGTTGATTGCTAAGGTGAACTAGGGTTGCTTATGGTAACTCTACTTCAGGTCATGATCTCTAACTTACACCATGTATGTATGTATATCTCTGTTATCCCCCCTACACTGACTTGCCTAACGAACCACTATCATAGATAGTAAGTAGGTAATAATAATGGTAATAAGAACCATCCTATTCAGTCTCACCAGACGTATACATACCAAAAGGATATGGGGAATGACACTGCAAGCTTGTTTCTGCTGACGAGGAAGTCAAGGGGGCAGGCAGGTAGATGGTATCGATTCGTATGCTGGTGATTACTGGATTACTTCAGGTTAGTTTTATTTTTGGACGTTTTAGTAAACGGAGAAGAAGTGTAGGTGATGTGAGTTCTGTGCATGTTGGGTAGGTTGGTAGAGAGTTTTGTTAAATTATGTGCGTTCACATATGTTTGATATTATCGTCCAGAATGTCGGGATCGTGGTGGGCGAAGAGATGGCTCTTGGACACCGATGTTTGATAATGAGTCCTTCAAATGTTAGGAAGGACAAGACATTGATTTTAACTGAGAGCAGCGAAAGTGACATGAACAGAATAATCAAAGAACAGAAGGCATGTAAAGAAACAAAGGACTGGTCATCATTGTTCGTTATGCTTAATCTCTGAGGATACTAGTCTGTGGATTCTGCAAGCTATACTAATGACACTCACTACCCTCCTAGCTGCTGCTATCACCACTTGACTAAGAACATTGAATGCTAAAACAAACATCCTGGGCTGAAAACATGACTAACTGACACATCCACACGTTTCACCCCAAGCAAATTCAGTATCCGTAGCAATTGATATAAGGTAACGAGAGTTCATCGGTCATGACTGGACCTCAACATCGACGCCCTATGTTAAAACTCGTTAACAGCCGAATCGATAAACGACAGAAGCTGACGAAGTAGGGAAAAGAAGCAAGCAGTGCACTGGAACTAAATGCCTATCTTGACCATATAAGAATAATTCAATCATCTCAGTGACTGTTACAGTGCTGGCCCAGCAAGCTGGAGTCTAGAAAAAGGCAGTCACTAAGCCTAGCGTTCATAAGTGGATTTTTGAGCTAGCAGAAGACCGCGCCACCCTAGGAAATGGGAGAGACCTCTGCACGGGCAGAACCTGTAGATGACTTGCGGCTGGACCGAGTTGGGCTTTCCACACCTCCGCTGGTACGCACCACCAGCTTGGAGGGGCTTTCGCGGGGTTTCTCGTTCACTTTGAGTGGCGACCCCCCCAATGATTCATTGACCTTGGCCTGGGACATGCCCTCCTTGCGGCTTTTGACGCGTGGGCTAGGGGTAGCATGAATCTTGGTAGTTGCCGCTCCCTCAGCCGTTGCCTCCGAAGCAGCGGTGGATTTAGTGCTGGACCCAGACGCTTCTCTGGTTCCCGGCAATGAGATCTCCTTCAAGATCGACGTCCGGCTGCTGCCTTTGGTGTAGGGTGCAGAACGCGCTTCAGCAGCTGCAGAAAGCTTATTTCCCATGGGTAAAGCAGTAGAGGGGCTATTGGTGGGTGCAGCAATGCCGAACAGGGCCAGTGGCTTTGGCGGACTCAATGCTTCAATCAGCTGCCGGTATGACTCCTCATCGACGGGGGTTACTATGCTGGGATGTTTGCTATGCTCGTAGCTAATGCCCGTCATGCTGGAGATGGCGCGACTACTTCCAGAGCTAGAGATATAATCAGGCATGGGAACATCCTCGCAAGATGATCGTGCACCTCGATGTCGGATAACAGGGTCAGTGAAGGGATCTGGCATGCATTGTCCTTGCCACTGGGGTAGAGGCATCTGAATTGATCTTTGATAGTTTCGATATGCCCAGGAATTGCCTGAATGGCTGCTTACTTGGCTTCTCGGGGCCAACATCCGACCCTGAGCACCTTGCTTACTGGGAGAGTGGGCGTGTGAGTCTTCTGCTGTCAAATTAGCAGGATCGATGCCCGAGTTGTACTTGAAAAGTCGTGGCTCCCGTGTCCACATCGAAGGGTTCGGCCAGGCGATGTTTGAATGCTCCAGGACCTCTACACTCAACGGGTCAGTGTATCTATGAAAAACGATCTTCTAAATTAAGCACTTACGCAGTGGAGCATGCTGGAAGGCAAACGCGACGATCTCTTTGACTCTCTCGAATGGTGGATAGCGGTGTGGGCGACAAAAGCCCTCAGCAATCACAACTCTAATCCTACCGTATAGCTCAGCTGCATCCCAATGTCTCTGCTCTAAAATTTCCTGGTGAAACGGAGGGAAACGGAGGCTATCCTGATTGCCAGTCTTATCGACGTCTAGAATCTTGCTGTTAGGTGATTTTTGTGAACAAAGGTGGAATGCGAGAGGATTGGTGCAAAGCATACACGAACTTAGGTCTAAAGACGAGACAGCAAAGTCAGCTATAAATTCGGCAACAGAAGGATCACTTCTTCTCACCAATAACATGAGGCCACCCTGATCTCTGATGGAAAACGCTACCCCTATGGCACACAAAGGCTCAGTTCATAGCCTCCGGTTGGAGGCTCGGGCAAGCACGTACGAGACACACAGGCCATCAATAAAGACCCGCACCTCGAAAAGCACTGCATCATCTGGCTGCAAGAGGCTTTCCATCAACCGACTGGGTGTGGGCTTCTGCCAGCTATGAACGGACACACGGAATGGGGTGTTGTGACGCAAACTTGGGACGAAAGTAGTGAGAACTGGCAACTGGCCCTCATTGCTCTGTGGCAGAGGACAAGTAGCCGGACTGACAAGACCGGGACTATGCAAGTAGGGTGAATCTGGTAGAGAGATTGGAGGTTAGCAATAGAGCAAGCCACGAACGTGCTCCAATCTTCGACGACACTGACCCTTATCCTTGGTGACGAAACATTGGGTCTTGAATTCCTGAATGGGCACCTTGGACGATTCGGGGAAGAGAATCACGTCCCAGTCTTCGTACCGCATTCTGACAGGCCCAAGGACTATTGTCTGCGAGTTAAAATGAGGAAAATGGAAGAAATTGAACCTCGATCAGGGACTAAGATACTAAGAGTAAAGAGAACTGAACCAATCCGAGTGGAAGGGAGGGGGTTCCTAAGAGAGAAGTAGGTATCTCCTCCACCACGACGAGGAGACAGTAGAATGAAGGCATCAGAGGGCGAGCAGACAAAGGAGAAGACGCACCGGGATTCGCACCTGCCAGACTGGCTAGATCAGGGAGTACCTGCCTCATGAGGACATCCCGTTCGAGTTGAAAAGATTACAGACAAACCCGGACTAGATGACCGGATTTGGGAGGGCAGGTACGAACCACAAGACAGACCGAAAGAGTACTAAGACAGCAATAAAAGGAAGAGAGATAAAAAATATGTTAATGCAGACCTGGCGACATGCGCCCAATTCAGATTGTTTAGGCATCTATTATCGAGTCCCATGTACACGAGGGAGGAGCAGATGCGAGCAAACATGCTCGAAACTGCCATGCTCGCAATCGCGGTGCATACACACAAAGGCAAAGTAGTCGGGGAAAGGAACACAGAGCTCACTGCAGAGCGAAGGGGGAATCATCCGTAAGAATAACGACTAAATGAACATGCCAGTATTGGAGCTGACGCTGGAAATAACACCACCCTCCTCGGTGACACAAGGAAAACAACCAGACTTACGAACGCCCCTCTCCCAAGCCGTGATTTGTTTGTTCACAACAGGATGCCGCCATCAGTGCCCGAGGATAGGTAGGAACAGGAAAACCACCCACCACCCAGTAACTACAATTTAAACGAAGAGATAGACGCATTAGGAAGAGCCCCGTCCTGTCATAAAATCATCAACACCAGCCCCAAGTCCCACACACCCGGCAGGGGGATAGAGAAAAGTACACAACCCAAGCCGTCCAAAACATCCGCGGAACGCGCCAGACGCAAGACGGGGGAAGGACCTAGCAAAGGACCACCGCATGGAAAGAGCGAGAGAAAGAACTGTGCTCCATAATAGACTGAATTGAGAGAAATAAAAGGCGAGGTGGAAACATGTTGTACAGGCCGCCCGGTCTAAGAAGCACGACGTAACATCCTCACAACGAAACAAGAATACGATTGGATTGCTTCATGAAAAAGGACTTCAGCAGAGGAACTTTTCGCAGAAAGCCTGCCCAGGGAATAAAGGGGGGGAAACACCGCACGCGCATTCAACAATTCCGATTGTCGTCATACGCATAATAACATAGACCTAGGGCCCGAAGACGTGAGGAGAATGTAAAAAGCGGGCATGGGATAAAGGGAAGAAACGGGGGAAACATATGAGAATTGGGGAGAGTGGCGAAGGAAAATTTGAGGGAGGTTTAAAAAGGGGGAATGGGAGAACAGAAGAATAGTAAAACGTGAAGATAGATAACGATGAAAATCAGAGCTCAAATCTGGCTAACAATGGAAGCGCTCGCATATGAAGTACGTAGCACAGGAGAAAATGCCCATCCAGAGCTATAGAGGGTAACTTTCGCAGAGATCATGGCAGACTTATAACACAAAAGACCCATCGTGAAATGACAAAACTCCTGCTGGTTCTTTCAAACTAAAATGGAAAGCTCTTTTACTAAGTCTGGGCGTTAGTGATGCTCTGAACCCCACCAGCCTCGGAGGGAGAGTTCAAGGGGAACCGACCTTCATAGGCGCGAAGCCGCCGTATCCGTGAGCGGGAGGCATGCCCATGGAGGGGTACATGGGAGGCGGAGGGGGAGCAGGGCGGTAGGGGCTGCCGGCAGGGCCAGAGTTGTTCTGAGAGCGACCCCAGCTCAGACGCACACGGGAGTTTCCAATGGGGTATCCCTGCATCTGGTTGATAGCCATCTCAGCAGCATGGCGCTGGACGAACTGGACGAAACCGCAGCCCTTTCCAGGGGGGATCTTGACGTAGGTGATTTCACCGAAGCCCTGGAAGAAAGAGCGGAGCTCATCCTCAGTGACGTAGCCAGAGAGGCCGCCAACGAAAACGGTGGTGTTGTTGGGGTCGGTGAACTGGTTCATGGGCTGGGGAGCACCGTAGAAGCCCATGGGGGGAGCGCCCATGGGAGGGTACATGCCCGCGGGGCCGGGCATGCCCATAGCACCGGCAGCACCAAGGCTGGGGCCCTTGTTCTTGGGAGTAGCGGTAGAGATGCGCATGGGACGGTTGCCACAGTAGACACCCTGCATCTCGCTCAGAGCACGCTGCTGGTCGTTCTCATCGGAGAAGCGGACGAAGCCGTAGCCACGAGACATGCCGCTGATGGGGTCGGTCATGATCTTGGCGGACTTGCAAGACGGGAAGCGGCTCTGGAAGAGAGAAACGAGGACGTACTCGTTGACCTCGGGGCCCAAGTCACCAACGAAGATCGAGTACTCAGGGCCACGGTCATCACGGCTATTTGACAAGTTAGCTTATGACCTCAGGACATCTATTTGGCATGTTCTCCTTACCTGCGGTCGGCAAGACCACCACCGGTAGCCCAGTTGAGCTTGAACAAACGGTTGGTGTTGGGCATGGGGGTGCCGTTCAGGGACAGAGCCTTGGCGGCGGCGGCAGGGGACGCGAAGTCGACGAAGCAGTAACCGGCGTTGCTCCTACTACCAACATTAGGATCGCCTTCATATTGAATCCAGTGTGATTATGTACTCACCCAGAAAACTTGTCGCGGATCATCTTAACGTTGACCTGCTCACCCATCTGGAACCAGAGGTTGCGAACGAAGTTCTCATCGATCCAGGGCTCAAGCTCACCCATCCTAAACGGCAACAGTCAGAGACAGCACGGACAAGAGATACTGCATTGGGAAAGCTTACCAGAGGGTAGTCTTTCCCTCGTTGGCCTGCTGGGGAACAGGGGCAGCAGAGGGCTCCCCGGGAGCAGGACCCTGGAAGGGGGCGGTAGTAGGGTCAGCCTGGCCAGTCATGGCGGTGTCCGCGGTAGCAGGAGCGCCAGGAGCGGCAGCGGCGGCGTCAGCAGCAGGGTGCTGGTTTTGGAAAGAATCAAAGTTCTGGAAAGACATGTTTGACATAAAAATTCGACTTTCGTAAGAATAACTGCGAGATAGGTATCTAAAAGTCCAGCATGAATATTAGTAACACTTTCAACGAGTGAAAAGGATCGAGTGCTGGCCAGTCGCAGTTGCGCGTACCTTAGTGCAGGTAAAAGAGCAGAAACCCAAGCAAACAAACTTTTCTATACCGAAATTGGCCCGTGCGAATGGGGTTTCGTAGGATTCGTCAAGGAAAGAACTGCGTGCGATCGTTCAGACTTGAAATGACTATTAGTACCAGAGAATTGACTTTAGGAACGAAGGTCCTTGGGTAGCAACAAGAAAGAATTCAAAATTGGCGAGGCAGAAAAGCACAAGTAAATCAGAAAGAAAGGGAAAAAGATGGGAAAGATGCCCGATCCACAAGTTCGCGGTAGCTCAGATAGAAAGCATTGACGGAGCGGAAGATAGTTGAATAGAACGTGAAGAATTCCCCAGGATGGCGGCCGGCAGAAAAATTGATTGAACGAGCGACTCGGTGAAAGTTGGGACAAGACGAGAAGTTGGGTTCAGCCTTGACTTGCAGGCCAGCTCCGTCAGGTGCCAAGACTCAGGTTCCTCGGGTGGTTGCAATGAAATAGCCGGAAAGGTACAAGATCCATGGAGTGAATCGAACAAAACCGGAAGAGGTGTGGTAGATCTGATGTGACAATTGCGAGAATAGCCAGAAATAGGCGTTGTCCCCATAGCATGACCGCGTTCGTCGAGGATACACCCAGAGAAGGCCACATCCGCTCCGGTTGCGACCGACCCGATCGATCCACCCAGTCTTCAGCGGACCTGCACCACGAAAGCCATGCAACAGCCGAGACGTATTTCCAACCATTCAGAAAGCGAGGCGCAGAAAGGGCCATGGACGAGTTGATGGTTGAGCGACCGTCCGAAACTCATCGTGAAATAGATCAGGGCGAGATAATCGTAAGGCGCAAATTGGTCGCTGACAGACCGTGCCGGACGGAAGTGGAAAGTCATTTTCGACGACCCGGATGCAGAGCAATCGGTGGACATGTTCACCCACAGCCGACTAATTCAACCAACGTCGCCTCCAGCGAATCGGTAATTCCATGCTTCTGGATGCATGAGAAGCGATGATGGACCCGAGACAGTGGTAGTCGATTTTCCGTCGCAACCACACACAGCTAGGCACCGGAACAGGCAGGGAAGGGGAGAAAAGTGAAAAGAAACGGGAGAAAGCAAAGACAAAAAAAAAAAAAAAAAAAACAAATATGACATACGAGTCGATGCGAAACTCAAAATAATAAGAGAACAGTAACAACTTACCAGGTAATGAAAAGCGAAGCGTTGAGTTGCGTTGCTTTGGGGGATGGCGCAAATAGCAAGGATGCGTGGAAGACTCGGGCGTCAGAGAAATCAGGAACTGTAGAGAACTCAAGATAACTCCGGCGAGGTGGAGAAAAGATAATAAGAAATTCAAGAAAGAGAGGAAAAGGCACAAAGAAGAGTTACAGAAGAACTATCCGCAAACCAACTCCGTCTTTTCCGATAGAAACAAGGGAACGGTAGAAGGACTGGAAGGAGGGAGAGATATTATGGGGGGGAGGGGAGGGAAGAGAGAAAGAGAAGAGAGAAGGAAGAAGAGAGGAAGAGGCGAGGAGGGGTAGAAGAAAGATTATTCTTCAGGATGGAGGGGAGGGAAAGGGAAGGGAAGGGAAGGAAAACGAGGGAAAGAATGGCTACTACTACGTACTACTGCTAGGGCAGACCAGGGACGGGAGAAAGCAGAAAATCGTTTAGACGAACAAACCAAAACCCAATAAGAATAATGAATAATCAAGCACACAAGCACCCAAAGGCACGCAGGAGCCAAAGCAGGTCTTGGGTTTGGTTTGGTTTACTGGGGCCTACTTTTCTTGCTGCTTCCAGCTACTGCTTGCTGCTGCTGCTGCTGCTG